AGTGGAGGTAGTACAGTATGTCCGGTGTTGGCTAACCAGGAAATACTCTGCTAGTTTGTGAGCATAGGCGCTGCTGGGATCTCCCATGCACCCCCATGTAAAAGCAGTGAAAATTTTTTCACAATAATTTCATTAAACAGAAGCAGTCGGAAGCGTATGTTTATTTCTAAATCGAGACATTTCCAAGAATTAGAAAAGAATTAACACTAACCGGAAACTAGTCACATTTACTAGATGACTTGCCATAGATTAAGTGACAAATCGGATCATTCACAGGGAATAATCTGGCTCTGATGCAGAGCGTCGTCGCGTCGACGTGACGTCGATAAAGAAAGCGTATTGGGATTAGTGATATGTTATCGACCAGCTTAAGTTCCTCGATCCCCTCGATCCCCTCGATCAGGATTCGAAGTGCTATATTCGATGAGATGTTGCAACAAGGCGAATATGAAATGCTTCCAAATGATCACTCGCATCTCGCGCTCATGAACGTCCTCCAGCTCAAGATTGACTGAATACTGCTCGATGAGACTCTCGGCTAGACCGAACCATGTGCCGCGTATCTTTTGCTGTCCACTCGGCAACCATGTCACTCGTTGCTTTCGGCCACCGCTTTTTCGAGCAAATATCAGCAGGTGCTCCTGGAAAGACTGTCGGTTAGGAAGTAATAACGACTCTGGGCCTTCCCCCAATTCTTTAGCATCTGCCCATCACATGGGCTCTACATCATAAAGGCTGTACAACCACCAGACTGACTCCCTCATTGAGGAGTGTAGCGTGTCAGCTACGAAGTAAGACTGAGGGATTGGAGGGTTAGAATGTATACGTTAAAATGCCCTCATTGCCTCTTTTACGCTGCCCTCGTAAAGGTATATTCCACACTCGTCAAGAGGAGAAGGGGGGCAGGGGGAGAGCGGGCCCATCGGTGTGACTTCTTCACTAATGCAGCTCTTCTCATTACCGTCTTTGAGATGAAGTATGCATCAGTGAATAATCACAAGGTGAAGTAAGCCCGGCTCCATCTTAAAATAGTGCGGCATGTGCTTCTAAAACTTCTGGCTAGTGTGGGACGTGTTGACCGGAGCCGGATGAATTAGAGCGCCCCATACGTAAGGACTTACTATTAGCGTAATAGCGAACTAAGCGCTTCATTACTTCTCGGTGTCAGAGATCATTTGTTTGCTTCTCTGAAGCTTTTTTTAGTAGAGTGGGAAAAATTCTGTTCTCAGCGCTGAATTATGGGTAAAAGTCAGACCCCAGAGGGAATCGAACCCGCCACAGCCAGGCCAAACTCAGGGTTACTGCCGATATCGGCTACGGCACAAAAACTTTTGAGCCGTCCATGGGAGAGTAAGAGCGTGCGAGATGGCCTAACGGACAACGCACTCCCCCGATGAGTGGGAGATGCTCGTTTGAGCCCCGCCTGGGTCTGACGTTCCCTCATTACTCAGCGCTCCTGTGGTGAGTTTTCGGAGCTCCTACTGTGGCGCTAAATAGCAGTCATCAAATTAAATAACTAAGAAACAGATCTCTTCCTCGCTTCAAAACGCTGCAAACCCTGCTCACCTTGTTCTCAGTGATCTGTGCTCGTCGTTTCATTCCATCTATTAAACCGTCAAGCATCTCTTCAAGACGTAGAGCTTCTTTCTGTACCAACTCATAGTCAGTGACTTCTCTGAAAAGCTCTGATTAAAGTAGATTCAGTAATTAAGTAA